GTTGAAAATAAGGAAAAATATCCTCTTTTTTTGTTAATTAGTCAAATATTATAATTATAAATTACAAGTGTCATTCTTTAATTGGTTTATTTGACACATCAGTATGCTCCAATCGGGTATTTACTTATTACACTTAATAATCATTTGAAGTGTCTAAATAGTAAATAGGTCAATTGAGGTGTCATTGTTGCGGACAACTTAAAAAAGCCTTTTATGTATTTTGCCAAATATAAATCATAGAAACACACGATACTTTAAGCTTTTTTTTTGTTTTGCTGGTGATACAATTTACCACATGAATTTTAATTGCTTAACCTATTTATAAGACATATTTGATGATAAATTAGTAGAAAGAGGTTTCTTAAATTATTTTTATGCGTAATTCTTGATAAATTTAATATTTAAACAATTGAGAGTATTTTAGTAAACTTACCAGTTACAATACAATACAATACAGTCAAACAAGGGCGGCCCGACGATTTTTGTAGCCTAAAGCCAAACTTTATGAGGGGCCTTAAATTTCTTTTCTTTTTTAAAAAAAATATTTATTTATTTGAAGTCTAGATTTCTTTAGCTAATCTATTTAACCTTTCTTGAGACATTGTTGATCTTAGGTAAGATTTTATCAATTTTAATTTTGAAAACTTCTTTCCGCTGAAGCGACAGTAACATGAGTTATTAATATCATTCCATAAGTAATAAGTAATATATGCTTTGAAAAAAGAATCAAATCTTTTTATTTGACCGAGTGTATCAATTAAAATATTATCTTCTAATTGTACTATTTTCCTTAATACTTTTAATTCCGAAAATAAATCTCCATCAATATCAAATTGGTTATTATAATTTACGGAACATTCAAGATTAAGATAATATTTTTTAAAATTTTCATCATCTAGTAATCTTAATTTTTACTGCTAAATACAACAACAACAACCCAGTATAATTTCACTAGTGGGGTCTGGGAGGGTAGTGTGTACGCAGACCTTACCTCTACCCTGGGGTAGAGAGACTGTTTCCGATAGGCCCCCGACTCCCTCCCTCCAAGAACTCCCCACCTTGCTCTTGGGGTGACTCGAACTCACAATCTCTTAGTTGGAAGTGGAGAGTGTTCACCACTAGAGCAACCCACTCACTTTACCGCTAAATAGAATACCAAAAATATTTTGTTATGCTTCGAATTGTTCAAATCTATTTTGAAGTAATAAAAATAGCCTTGTCTACTAATAAACTCCAAAGGACTCTTCGAAAGATTTTGAGATTTTATTATCAATATTCTCATCAAATTGTTACTTCCTATATATATATATATATATATATATATATGTCACACGTTACTTACAAAATTCGGGTTCGATATTCATTTCAAGTGCAATTTTCTTGGCAGAAATCATAGCAGTTGCAAATCCTTCTTCTCTATACTTGTTAAAGAAAGAAATCAAACATTTGCACTTCAAAGAACCCTTTTTAAACTTATACATAACCTATTAGATGTAGCAAAAAATGAGGCCTCCACAAATGTGAGGCCTAAATAAGTTGCTTTACTTGATTTATGGAAGGGCTTTTACTGCAGTCAAACCAAACTGCAAAATTTTATTTAACAACAACAAACAATACAATATATCCAAACTTTGTATTCATAAAACGATACAATACAATACATTATAAAACAATGGATAACAACTATCCAATAATGGCAGAGTCAGAATTTTTAATAAGGAGAGTCAAAATATAAATAAGTAAGCATACGAAAAAATTAAGTGGAGTGAATGCATAAAAATCCCTTGCCAATTAGTGGCTCCGCCATTGCCATCGCCATTGCCAACAGTGGCTCCGCCCGAACTTCCCTTTCATTACTTGTCTCTCGACCACATCTTAATCAGAGCAAAGCATTCAATTCATTTGCAACTTGTGACCAGTAACTTTCTATCACCGTAAGCTTTTGAAGCATTCTTTTCCCTTTCCCGTAGAAATTAATCAAGATTTGGCAAAACTTTTGAAAAGAAAAGGATCCATGAAAATGAACAAATACCATTATCTCATGATCATTTTCTTTGTTACTTTCTCAGTACTTGTTTATGCAAATTCTCAAACCACTGTTGTAAAAGAAGATGAGAAGACCATCTTATTGAAGCTCAAGAGCTATTTGGGAAATACATCTGATATCCAACAGCGGTGGAATCTCAGTTCATCTCCTTGCACTTGGCCAGAGATTTCTTGTTCTCGTGGTTTTATCACAGGCATAAATCTCGAATACCAGTACCTTGCTGCAATCCCACCAATCATTTGTAAACTCAAAAATCTCACACATCTTATACTTGCATCAACCTTTTTATCAGGAGCATTTCCAACAGTTGTATACAACTGCTCAAAGCTGAAAGTTCTTGATATTTCTTTTAACAAATTCCAGGGACCATTGCCTACGGACATTCATCGAATGTCTAGGCTAACCGGCTTAAATCTCCGTTCTAATTTTTTCAATGGTGCCATTCCAGGAGCTGTTGGTCTGCTCTCAGAGTTGAAACATCTGCATCTTACTGGCAACGATTTTGAAGGTTCAATACCCCGGGAAATCAGAAATCTCTCAAACCTTGAGATCTTAGATGCATCAAGCATGGAGAAATTTGAGCTTGCTACCATTCCAAATGAGCTAGGTAAGTTGAAGAATTTGAGACAACTTGTGTTTATGAGGTCAAATTTGATCGGAAATATCCCAGAAGCTATTTCAAATATTTCCAGTCTTGAGTACATGGATATGTCAGAAAACTATCTGAATGGATCAATTCCAGGAGTTGTTGGTCAGCTTTCAAAGTTGAGACGTCTGTTTCTTACAGGCAACAATTTTGAAGGTTCAATACCCCCAGAAATCGGAAATCTCTCAAACCTTGAGACTTTAGATATATCATTCATGGGGAAATTTGAGCTTGCTACCATTCCAGATGAGCTAGGAGAGTTGAAGAATTTGAGAAACATTAGGATTGTAAATTCAAATTTGATCGGAAACATCCCAGAAGCATTTTCAACTTTTTTCAGTCTTGTATACATGGATCTGTCAAGAAACTATCTGAATGGATCAATTCCAGATTGGCTTTTTCGTTTTGAAAATTTGAGCGATTTAAATCTTGAACGCAATCAACTTCATGGCACCTTACCAATTCCAATTGGAGAGGCAAAGTTTTCTGCTCTAAAACTTTCTTGGAATCAATTATCTGGAAAGATCCCATTAGAATATGATAAGTATTCTAACTATGACTTCTCTGGTAATTTTGATCTATGTACTTGTAACTCAAGCCACGCTACTAAATACCTACCTTTATGTACTAATCAAAAGCACCACAAAGCAAAAATCAAAGCCCCTGTATTCGTCGTAGTTTTAGTAATTATTGTTCTAGTTTGTCTTTCGTGCTACATTTTGAAGCATTCAAAACTCTCTCTGTCCAAATGTTCTTGGAAGAAGACACAGGAGATCGATGAATGGGAGTTCATTCCTTTTCGAAGTACTAACTTCACAAGATCAGAAATTCTACTGAATCTAACAGAAGAGAACTTGATTGGGAGTGGAGGATCTGGAAACATCTATCGAATTGGTGTTGATGAAAATAGAAGTCATGTTGCTGTTAAAAGAATATGCAACCAAAGAAAATTGGACAACAGTCGGAAGAAACAGTTTCTTGCAGAACTTCAAACATTAAGTGGAGTTCGACATGTCAACATTGTTACGCTAATTTGCTGCATTTCAAATGAAAACTCAAAAATTCTACTGTATGAGTACATGGAAAATCAAAGCTTAGACAAATGGTTGCATCCTAAGCAAGGACGTGAATCATTAGTCATGATCAGTCCAGCACAAAATGTAGTCTTGAAATGGGATACAAGGCTGCGTATTGCAATTGGAGCAGCCCGTGGTCTTTGCTATATGCACAATCATTGCTCTCCTCCCATTATTCACCGAGACATTAAATCAAGTAACATCCTACTGGATAACGACTTGAACGCAAAGGTTGCAGACTTTGGACTGGCGAAAGTCCTCGCCAAGTGTGGAGATACTGAGACTGCTTCTGCGGTTGCTGGCACTTTTGGTTACATGGCTCCAGGTACACTTTAGATTGAAAATGAAATTATTCCCTTTGTATTTCTCTAGTTACTATATCTTAAACTTGTCATGGCATGACCTTAGCTTTCATTTGTTGATTCTTAGAGTATGCTTATACAGCTAAAGTAAGTATGAAGAGCGACGTTTATAGCTTTGGTGTTGTGCTGTTGGAGCTAGTTACCGGAAGAGAACCTGTTCATAGAGATGAGGCGATCAACCTTGCACAGCGGGCGTGGAAACACGTTGAAGAAGAAGAACTTATTGAAGATGCTCTGGATGAAGAAATCAAGGGACCAGCAAATTTGAAAGCAATGAGTGAAGTGTTTAAATTAGGGCTCATGTGTACTAACAAGGTCGCTTCCACTAGACCTTCAATGAAGGAGGTAGTGCAAGTTCTTCTACTCATAGCTACTAATCGTCCTTCATAAAATTCTACTAGTCGTATCATTGTTGGAATATATACTATTAACCATGAATTTTGGTTTGGATGTAGTATTTATTATGGAACAATTGGTTATTTAATCTTGATATAATTATTATTAGTTGTGTATAATATTTATTATTTTGTTTTATTAAAAGACAGATTCTAATGAAGGATGTAGTGCAAGTTCTTCTACTCTTAGCTACTAATCGTCCTTCATAGGAAGGGATAAAATTCTACTAGTTGCATAGTGTCAAATATGAAAACTAGTCGTTTCATTTCATTAAATCAATTTATTTGTTATTGATTTATCCAAGCTGTGCTTTGTAGCAAGCAGTAGAAAAGTTAACAACAAAAACTGCTGTAGTTTTGCTCTACGGCCGCATTTGCGCTCTCTCGATCTCTCGATCTCTCGACGCAGACCTAGTATCTTCTCATCTCCGATTCTCTCGGCCGTGTCAAGGTGAATGTGACACAGTTTGCCTGACTCTCTTCCCCCCCCCCCCCCCCCCCNATGAATTCTACCCGCTTCATGTATGTATGTGTGTGTGTGATTTCTTCTGAAACACGTCTATGATTTCTACTCATTTATAGGAAGTTTAGGTTGGGAATAAGTTGCCTTTGGATGTTAACTTTTGTACGCTTATAGAGTTATCGTATTTTCTCAATTTGTTGACTCTTCTGTTATTTGAATATTGGTTTGGTCAAGAGCTGATAGTGTGTTGATTAATTTGGAGATTGCCAAAACACAACAGCACACGGTGGCCAACGGTGGCCAAGTGTGAAATAGAAAGACTTGCCTACTATTGATTAACAAGAATATGTATACAAGTTCAATAGTAAACCTTAGTTTTAACAAATATGAAAAACTATTCCAAACAAATATGGAAAAAAAAAACTCTTCTAGTCATAAACATACACAAATATATACACACGCTTCATTACTACCCCTCAAGTTGGCGCATGCGGATTACAAATGCCCAACTTGCACAAGAGAAAACATATTGAGATCTTCCTAATGACTTCGTAAAGATATCTGTCAATTACTCATGTGAAGGCACAAAACTAGTATGAATATTCCCACTATCAATCTCGTCACGAATAAAATGACAATTCACTTAAATGTGTTTAGTTCATTCATGAAAGACTGATTCTTTGTTATATGCAATGTTTCTTGACTGTCACAATAATGATGAATAGGGGAAGTGCAAGTCACTCCCAAACTAGATAAAATTTCCTTCAACCATTTCAACTCACAAATTGTCATTGCCTTAGAATGATATTCAGCCTCTACAGATGATCGAGGGACGGTATTGTCACGACCCAAAATCTCACATGTCGTGATGGCGCCTATCTCAATACTAGGCAAGCCGACAATCTCAATAAACCACCATACCTTTTAAGTTTGAAATATAATATTTATATTCAATGAAAGAAATCTTATAAATACAGATATAAACACTCTCAAAACCCGGTGTCACTGAGTACATAAGCATCTAATATGAGTACAAAGTCTGACTGATAAAACACTGTCTGAAAGTATAAAACAGTACAATAACTGAAGAAAAGAGAGACAAGGCTAGTGGATGCCAAGAAACTACCTTGATAGTCTCCCACTAGTAACACACTGAGGTCTAACATTCGCCGTGTCCCGGAAGCACCTAGATCTACACACGAGGTGCAAAGTATAGTATGAGTACAACCAACTCAATAAGTAACAAGACTAACCTCTGGGCTGAAAGTAGTGATGAGCTCCACAGGTACAGTCCAGTACATAAATAATGGTGCAGAAATGTAGGCATGCTTTCAAGTTCAATAGTTAAACTTAGTACAAGCAAAAATATATCAATACTGCATGATATGAGGAATATGACATCTCAGTGGAAAGACCTCATGTACTACTAGTCACAATTCATTGGATCATTCAGTATTGTATATGGCCAATCCAGCCTAGTGATATTCCATCCCGTATATATACACATATCGACTGATAGTCAGTCACTCAGTACCGTATAAGGCCAATCCAGCCCTGAGAAATTTATCCCCAAATGTAAATTATACGGACAAGATCCATGTCCAGGGAAAAATCATCACAATATAAATAAGTAAGGCAAATCCATGCCCTAGGAAGTCCATCCCGAATATATAATCATTTACGCTCACTGGGGGTGTGTACAGACTCCGGAGGGGCTCCTTCAGCCCAAGTATAATATAAATCCGATATGGCCTACTGCAGGCGGACAATCCCGATCTGTATAATAAATAAGCCTATAAGGCCTGCTGCAGGCAGGCATCCCCGATCCATATAATAATAAAGCCTATAAGGCCTACTACAGGCGGGCAACCCCGATCCATATAATAATAAAGTATATAAAGCCAATATGGTCTGATGCGACGTGCAACTCGATCTCATAAATATCCTCACAATGAATGAATATGACTGAGTGTGAAATGTACATTTTTAAAATAATTAATTCAACAACAACACAACCTCATGGCCCCCAAAATATCGGCACGTAGCCTAAACATAATCTTTAATAAGAGCCTCATCTTAATTTCTCTAATACGTGGAGGATACACGGATAATTACACGGTTCTTTAATTTTTCAACTCTACAGAATTTATTTAAGTCACAATTTATATGGTGCACACCCACACGCTCGTCACCTATCGTGTGCGTCACCTCCAAACAATTTATATAACACCAAATTCGGGGATTCATACCCTCAGAACCAAGTTTAGAAATGTTACTTACCTCAAATCCGTGTAATTTCTTACTCCGCTATGCCCTTCCCTCACGAATTTATCTCCGAAAGCCTCAAATCTAGTCATAATTAATTTGATTGAGTCAATGCAATTTATTGGAATTAATTCCATATGAAAATACTAGTTTTCCAACAAAATTTAAAATTTAACTCAAAAATCGCCCATGGGGCCCACATCTCGGAATCCGACGAAACTCATAAAATCTGACAACCCATTCAATTATGAGTCCAACCATACAATTTTTACCAGATTCCGACATCAACTCGGCCCTCAAATCTTCTATTAAAGTCTTTGAATTTTTTTACCATTTTCAACCCAATATTTACCCATTTGAACTCAACAATCTTTCCACAAACCTTATTGGTATTTATATGTATAAATAGTTCTCTCACATCCAAGAATCATACTCCCAATCACCCATCTTTACCCAAACTCGAAATTGAATAATTGGGGAAAGAAATTCTTACCTTTTTGAAGCCATAGCAAAATCCTTGTGAAATCTTCAAGCATTGAACAAGAATTGATGAACAAATGGCTTGGACTTCACTTTCTCTCTCTAAGTTGCTCTCACCTCTCTCTAAAATATCATATGAAACCCTTCAAAATAACCCCCAATAGTGTTTTATAAGAATGGGGTCGGGTTTATAAAACCAGAAAAATGAAACTCTGAAACACACTCTGCGGTCGCATATGTGACCGTATAATGCTTCTACGGCCCGCATAATGGGTCGCAAAAAGGCCCTCCGGAATTGTGTAACACTGCTTCAGTCTACGGTCATTATGCAGCCCGCATACGTGTTCTGTAGTTGCATAATGCACCACAGAACTAGTATGCGGTCGCATAATGCGCCGCAAACCTGATCTCCAAACTTACCCCACTTCTGATTCACTCTACGTCCATTATGCGGTTCGAGCATTGTTCAACCCAAAAGATCCGAAATTATTTTTCCTTTACTCTCCGGCGCATTATTCAACCCAAAATATCCAAGCCACGGCGAGCTTGCTCGCCGTGAGAAATTTCTTCAACCTCAAACACGTAAGCCTAGTTCGGCACCACAAAACTTTAATTTTCTTAGAACAAATTTTCCGGGGTCGCTACACATACGTCAACATCCGGTTAAACTTTTCAACTTAAGTTCTAAACCTTGGAACTAAGTATTCCAAATCATTTCAAAATCTCGCCGGACCCAAACCAATTACCCCGGCAAGTCAAATAACAATCGTAAGCACAATTTGAGCAGTAAATGGGGAAATGAGATTGTAATACTCAAAACGACAAGTCGGGTCATTACAAGTATGTTACTTCTTAGTCTTTAAATATGTGAGTCACCCAATGAGATAAACTAACTTGTGAGCGAGTGTTGAGTCAAAGAATAAACAACCCAATTGGAGTTACATCATCTGTAGAAACGTAGATCACATTTGCTTTGCAATAGAATACCTTGTCACATATTCTCTTTCAAGTAGCAAACAACTCGTAAAGATGCATCCCAATGCTCCTCTTTTGGTTGATGCATGAACCAAGATCAAATATGAACTCTGTATGACAGTTCCGGCCAAGTGAAGCACAAATAATTAAGTCAACCAATCAAACGACAATTGCGCTCGGGGTCATTAAGTGCCCGTCCACTCGCTAATGTTAGTCGATGATTCTGTTCTAAAGGCATTCCCATGGGCTTAACACCTAATAACCCAATCTCTAAGATAATATTCAAGGCATATTTTCATTGGTTCAAGAAGATGCCTTCCGATCTTTTGGAGATTTCCACTCCCAGAAAACTTTTCAATCTACCTAAATCCTTCATGTGAAAGCATTTGCAAAGATATGTTTTTAACTCCCGGATAGCCTCGGGCTCATTGACAGAGATAATGAGATCATCAACATATACTTAGACATTTACTCGAACTTTATCCTTTTTCAGAGTAAAAAGAGAGCAGTCAGAGTATGAATACTTGGACCCATAGTCCTCCAAGGCACCTGATAACTTAGCAAACCAACTCCTCAGCGCTTGCTTTACCTCATAAAGGGACTTCCAAAGTACGCACACTTTTCCAGGACTTGCAACTCGAAACCCAGGAAGTAATTTCATGTACACCTCCTCCTGAAGATCCCCATGCAGGAAGGCATTATATACATTTATTTGTTGTAACTCCAAATTATTTGTCGCTAGTACAACAAAAAATGTGTGCACAGTCACCATTTTTGCCACTAGGCAAATGTTTCATCATAGTCGATCCCTTCAACTTGATGATTCCCGAGAATAACTAGTCGGGCCTTGTGTCTAATTGTTCCATCAGAGTTGTAATTTATCTTGTAAACCCACCGCAATCGAGATCCGTTTTGTTAGGAAGCAG